AAAATGGAAGTTTAAGTTCGTCTTTTTGCCCCTTACTCAATTCTGAAAAATTTGAAAATCAAATTTTCTCAGAAATATTAAAAGTAATTTCTTCTTTTTGTTTGTAATTGTGCAGAATTGTTTCAGGGATTTCTTCTTCCACAATTTTTCTTTTTAACACAAGCTAAAGTATGTGTACATGTACATGTCCGTGTTGTACATGTAAAGGCTGAAACTCAATTCCGATTGAAGATAAATGATTTTGAAGATTTCGAGGTGACCCATTTGAAGCCTGTTTGTAATGATATCCACCACACTAGCTGCCAGTACTATTCAAGCAGTACTCTTCTAGAAATATGAGTCGGCAACAAGGCTTAAACCTAACCTTACCAACTCCCATCAAAATTCATCCCCTGATTTGGGGGGATTTGGGCAGATAAGCCATGTGTACCAAATCCATCAAAAGCCACAAGCACCAGTGGTGGATTTCAGTGGATTTGGTCCTGAAGCATTATGCAAAGCAGAGTCAGTGATGGATTTTGCTGGATATTGTCTTCTGCTTAATAGTAAAACTAAGTTGGGACTTAAAAAACGATTATTGACCAATTTGTACCCAAACTCTGATGGAGTATATTTTTACTGAGCCTGAACCATTTTTTTATAAAACCGATTTTGCCAGTTGGATTGAAGAGTACCAGTCAGGCATGCAACTTTTCGTTGGATCCGCTGATTTACTTGTTTTTCACTTCAGACTTTTGCCATTTAAAAGTGAAAAACACTGTACAAAGTCCTGTAAAGATTGGAAGTTCCTCGTTTTGTGTTAATTCCAAGTTGCACGCCTTACCACTGCCAGTATATGTACTTAACAAAATAAGTTTTATGCGTTGCAGCCTCATTAAGCACAAACTGAATCAAAGCAAGATGCATGTAGTAAACAACATGGGCCTACCATAATGCACATAAATGTCCATGTGACACCATTGCAACCAAGTATTACAATTATGCGTAATAGACACACAAGTACATGTACACGTGCATTTCATTGTGTGCACACATAGACCCGTACATGTTTTTTATTAGCTTTTGCCCCCAGTAGAAAAATCACTCCAAGATGAGCTCCATTCTGTCAAGATGACGACGAAGAAAACAAAAACACGAAGACAAAATGTCAAGACGTGTCTGGTTTGTGGAAATCAATGGCCATCAGCTGAGAATACACACACACAAAGAAAATCTCAGCTGTCGTGCATATCTCGTGGGTATTGACGCAGTACTGTGCGGTGATGTGTGGAGATACATGTAGTTAATTGTCAGCGTTTACATGTACGTGTACAGAAGGGACAGTATATGAGTGATGTAATTTGTAAAACTACACATTGGCCGTCATGTCTCACCATGATCAGGTACGTAATTATTTGCCGTGTACTCGGAGCAACTGATGCCCATCTGAATGTTGTTTTTTTGGCAGGCACGCATCTTTTGGGAGGGGAGGAAAGTTACAATGTACATTGAAGTAGTTTCAGATTATAAAAATGTTGAATGAAAAGTTGTATCTGAAGATTTGGGCCCAATTTCACGGCGCAGCTAAGCACACAATTTTTTACTAACAGAGCCTCCGTCTATTTCATGGAGACCGTAAGCAAAGAGGCACAGCAAAAGGCACGCTTACTTCAGAGGAATATTTGCTTAACTTAGTGACGTAACAATAGAAATCTCCATGCACGCGCGACCGTTAACACGTCCACACCGTGAAATAGTGCTTAAAGTTAGCAAATTTTTCTGCTATGCTAAACACAACTTTTCTGCTAACTGTTATTGTTAAGCAGTGCCGTGAAATTGGGCCCTTATTTTTCAACACTTGATGAATTTTGGCACGATGCTTGAAAATTCTGTTAAAAATGGCACCAATTAATTTTTTGTGTCAATTTTGGGGTACTTTCTCAGTCCTGTAACTAGTGCCTTTCTGTTTAGAACTTTAAGGACATTTTCTCTCTGCACATTTGTGTCCACGTTACGTGGATGGAATCTCAAAATCTGTACACTGTTAATAGTAACTAATTTGTTTTTAATGTGTGTGTTGGTGTGTGCACGAAGGGGTTGATTCTTTCTGAATGCAGTTAATCAGTTTATTTTTGTAACATTGCCAGCCTGTTGGAAATTGAAATGTCAAAGTAATGTATTATTCAGGATAATCAGTCAGCCTTTGTTTGGAATACAAAAGTACAAAAGGATGTACGTGAACGCGTTCATTTTTTTGAATAATCGTGAATAATTTCTCTGTGTTCTTCAAATGTACAATGTAAGGAATGATATTTGTGATTTTGTTAACCCAGAGTCATTTGCCACAATTCTTCATGGAGATGTTTCATATCAGCTGCCCAGGTAGACTTGATTTCAAGTCGTTAATTGGCTGGGTTTAGGTCACCCGCCGAGCGCCATATCGTGGTACTGCACGTGTGCCAGGGTTCACTTGCAACATCCGTGTAGTGTGGGATATGGCACTAACATGCAGGAATATATGCATCCTCGACCCCAAAACATGCATCCTCGACCGACTTGAACAATGTTCACTGGGCTTTGTACACAACCTATAGTACTTGCTATCAGATTTGAACAGAGCAATGTGATTGGTTACCAATCCAGAGAATACAATGGTACCGTGTGTTCACCATCAATCGTGGACGTCCTATTGTCCCTCTTTTGTTTGTACTCTAACTTTTTAGGAAGACTTTTATTAGTTTTTGTTCTCTGGTATTTTTTGTCCATGGTTTGAAAAGATGAACGCGTGCATATGTACACAGTGCTTTGATGGACAGAAGCACTCTCATCCTTTGAGTGGGTAAAGCTTATCAAGTAACTTTTCCAACGTAATTTTTGTCTTTAAATTTGAAAGACAACTATTAGACATTTTAGATTTTCTAATGAAAATACAGTGTACTCTTGAGTTTAATATTCTAAGAGGATCTTTTGAACCAAAAAGTACTCTGATCTAGAAAGTCACACCCCTAATAATGGATGCTTCTTCAATGTTGCAGATGAGCTACCATTGGCCCTCCCTATGGAAGCGTTATGCATTGCGCTGGGTGCATACATGAATATCCATCAGAAATCAGTCTGATCAAGTCGTTAAGACACGTTGAAACTCAGCATTTGATAATAAACAAGCTACACAGCACAGTGCTAGTGGGTCATATTACATGACTGTCTGATGACTTGTGTTCAAGTCTACTGCCCGGGTGGCCAATAATCTGTGTTGCCTTGGCAGTTTTTGTTTTCAGTGATTGATTTCATCCGTTCCGCTTTTATGATCGCAGCCAACTTCCTGTAATAAACAGTCTTCCCCGAATTAAACACACTCTGGGGCTACACGCAGAGAGACAGGAATAATGTTCAGTGGCCGTAGCATTTTTTTTCCGGGGGGGGGGGGGGGAGGGGGGTGTTACTTGCTCGTCGACAGCTGTGCAGCAGTCTCTCGGGCCAGGTTTACGCATTGATGGATCCGAATCTTGTGTGGGTTCTTATATCGCTGCAGTGTAACTAGATCGTTTTGTTTTTGTACGACCCAGCCGGAGCCCGAGTGTTCTATGTCATTAGTATGTACCCTGATCATGCAGCCGTTTCTAATGAACATGTGCACAGGGCATGTCCATGGACAAAATTATCATTGAATGCTTTTTTTTTTTTTAAGTTTTATTAATGTAAGTTGTAAACTAACTTATTTTTCACAACTTATTTGGCATTCTTGCCGAATTAATTGTCAAAGAAACTCATTCTTTTACTGGTACTTTAAAATTTCGGATTTGAACTTAGTATTATCTTAGATGCAATTGTTTCATGCCAGTTTTGTAAAAATGTAATTGGTAGTTTGCAACCTTAATATAGCGTAATAATTTTGTGTTGAATTTTTGTTCTTTTGATGTGAACCAAGTAAATTTAGCAAAACAGGAACTCAAAAATAAATGGTAGGCGTTTTGGAATGATGGACTTATGACAAGGGCTAGACCGGATGGATGTAAAGTACCTTCCACAGTTATAATCTATACAATTATCCCATCCGATGTTACCATAAAGCAAACAAGTTACATGTGCCTTCCAAATTAGTTCGGAGCCTTAGTGCTAAAGTGCATTAGTTTGCAGGCACTCGACAAGAACACTGAGAATTTGAAACTGTAGTGGTTGCAGCTGCAAGTCACATTCAACACTGGTGTACTCAGGTAGCTCACGAGTTACATGTATACTTTTGTAAATCAGTTTTCTGCAGGCAGCAATTTCCTGAATATGAGAATGGGCATTGTCCGGTGTGCAACCCTGTGCATTATGTGGTGCACACAGTTACATTTTTATGGGTCATTCTATAAATTTGGGGGTCCACTTTTTTCCCCGTCCCTGTTTTATCTTGCCTGTATGATTTTTGTAATTCTCAGGCACGCAGCTTTTCCTCGTCTCCGCTGGTTTCCTTGTTTTTTTACTTCTCATGAATGCCATTACAAATTAAAAAATACTGTACAAAGTCCTATGTGGTTTGGAGTTTTCTGTTTTTTCCCCCTAAATTTCCAGTTGCATGCCTGAATTCTAAATGCAATATTTCGATCTTGCTTTCTTAGAGAGTTTTGTAAAGCAACTTACTGGTACCCATCCAACAAATATATTATCACTTATCATTTGAAGTCATTCTTAATGATAATTGAATGGTAAATTATAAAATATCAGTACCAAGGTACAACAGGGACAGGAGAAATGTCACAATTTGGATGCTTAATATATTTAGAATGACTCATACCGGTATGCTCTACAGCTTTCTCCATTGAAGCTAAATTACTTTGATGAAGCCTTTTTTCTTAGACTTTATTGATAACTTGCATTACTTTGTGAACTTTTTTGGGGGGGGGGGGGGAATAGAAGTCGGGAAATGAAAGTGCGGTGTGTTAAACCCACCTTACCCAGGTTTAGATATACCTTCATTTTGTTTTGATTGGTCTTATAAATGTCTTCTTTTTGTGTCTGTCCTTTCCCTGCTACAGATCAGCTTCAAGACGACTGGTCCAACCCAGGGCCGTAGCGGTCGGTTCAAGCGTAGATCTCGCTCCCTGTCTCAATCCTCGACAGACAGTTACAGCTCTGGATCATATAGCGGGAGCTCCTCTGAAGATGACGATGTCTCGCCCAGGGAGAAAGTCCAGGTAGTCATTTGTTTCTTTTGACATGAACATTCACGGATGATTTTGGAGGATTGAGGCTGTATGCAATTTTCACTTGGAGGCAGGCAGTTGGAAGATTTTGTAGGATTGAGGTTGCATCCCAGCAAAAATACTAAAGGCAGTTAGGGTTAGCCTTGTGATTATTTCTCTTGTTAGCCCTTCTACAGCACTGTCATAAAATAACATCAGTGAAAGACATTTACCAAATATGAAAATGTACATCTCAAATTTTCACTGAAAGTCATAGTAATTTTGATAGATATTGTCTGAGGTTATCTCTTTCAAAACGACAAAATAAAAACATGCATGTCTTATGATATCATTTCTCGCATTTTTCAGTATAACTCAAAGAACTTTAAAGGCTTCTGCGTTAGGAACATCAAGCAGGCTGCATTTGGTCGGAGGGAGATTGAGATAGCTGAACAGGGTAAGTATTGTTTCCACCAATAATGGCTGACAGAGAAGTTCGACATACAGGGTGAGTAAAAGAAACGAAACCCAAATGTCGGGACTATTGTTTTATTGAAGTTCTTCATTTAGCACTTTGAAAATCTAGGATATGAAAGCCCCATTCATAAGCTTTCTTTTAGTACAAGAATCATTCAAATCACCCATGTACATTTCAAGTTACGGAATTTTAAACACAACCACTGTTTTAAAGTTCTGTCCACGGATCACAAAAAAGGTGTGCGTTCTTTCAGCAAAACGAAAACAATTCACACACATCCCTATGTGACTTGTTTTTGTTTTGCTGAAAGAACACTGAACTTTTTTGTGATCCGTGGACAGAACCGTAAAACGGTGGTTGTGTTTAAAATTCCGTAACTTTAAAAGTACATGACAGATTTGAATGATTCTTGTAATACAACAAAGTTAATGAATTGGGCTTTCATATCCTAGATTTTGAAAGTGCTACACGCAGAACTTCTCTAAAACAATAGTCCCGACATTTGGGTTTCGTTTTTTTTTTACTCACCCTGTACAGCTGACACAGTTATGTGAGAAAAAGGACTCTGGCTAAATTCCCAGTCTAAATCCCTTTGCACATTTTTGGACATGTTCAGCATGTGTTTTTGTTACACCTACCAGTACCTGTGATTAAAAAGCCGCAATACTCGAACCACTTATTTAAAGTTATTCTGATAGGATTCTCACTGAACCAGCTCAGAGGTTGAAAGTAAAACCTTTTTTGGTGTAACCTATTGTACTTGTACTACATTGTGTTACATTGTAGTTGTACCATGAAGAATCAGTAAAAGCCAAACAGTGCTGGGGCAGTTGTGGCAGTATTGACACTTCTTTGTTTACACAAATTGGTGCGTCCCAAATTCTCAATGATACGGCAAATTGATTGTATTCGCAGTGCAAATCTTTAGAAGTAATATGCATTTACACTTGTCAAGAGTGTTGATTATTAACTCGTTGTGTTGGTTGTTGTGACAGAAATGCCAGGGCTGATGCTGCTACGGAAACGAGCCGAAGGAGAGAAACCACTGAAAGGATCTAAGATCATCGGCTGTACTCACATCACTGCCCAAGCTGCTGTGAGTATCCCTTAAAGCTTACAACATTCTGTTGTAAACATACGTGTCATCAGCATTGCTACAGGTGAACAAACTGCTATTTTTCGCTCTGGAGGTGGTTGTTTGTTGTTCGATTTTTTTTCTCGACACCCTGTACCCTGAAAACAGAAGTAAATACATGTACATTGCAAATATTAATTAGGTAAATGTATGACTAACAGCTCATGTGAAGTTTCGAAGTTCAGCATCAGGAATTTGGAGAAAACACTAAACATCAGGTAAAAACTCAGGGAATTTGGCAGTGACCCAGAAGAGAAAGGTTTTCGCAAGTTTGGCGTATTTGTGTCTTGTGGCATTTGTCCAAGTTGTGTCCATTGACTGACTGGCATTAACCCTAGCAGGCCTCAACCTGTCAAACCCCAACGGCATGTTTTGTTGGAATCTGTCAGGATGGGTACAGTACCCCTAAACTGACAGTCTTTTACATTGGGTTGGCACACCTCCAGAATCAAAGTCAGAAATATGTGTGTGCAGTTTCCCTCATGGTGTTGGAATTTGCCAGGATGGGTAGGGTTCGTAGTAGTAAATCATGCGAGGGAGTTAGGGTTAATGGATATTTTAGAGTTTGCTTTGCTGCAACCACCTCTTGACTTCCCAGCAACCTCTTAAAGTGAAAATATTTCTCATGGAATTTTGGATATTTCTCAGGGAAGAATTACGGGAACATTTGTTATCATAAAGTGCTGGGAACTCTGTGTAAACTTCTAATCCATAATTCCTGATAATTTTGAACTGCAAAATATTTGCTTCTTCTAGGTTCTGATAGAGACCCTACATGCCTTGGGAGCCAGCGTGAGATGGTCGGCCTGTAACATCTACTCCACCCAGAATGAGGTAGCAGCAGCCCTGGCTGAGGCGGGCTTTCCAATCTTTGCCTGGCGTGGCGAGACTGAAGACGACTTCTGGTGGTGCATTGAGCGCTGCATCCTGTCGGACGACTGGCAGCCCAACATGGTGAGTAAAGGAGGGGGGGGGGGGGGGAGTGGAGCGAGTCCTTGGACTTGTCCTGGGCTACGTCTCTAGTATTTATCCAAGACAGATATTTTTTTGGTTCACGGCAATTGTGTTGTTACAGGCCCCGTTCCTATAAGAGAACGAAAGTCCACTTTTAGGTTTTTGGACTTACCCAAGTTGTTAGATATATTTAAAACCAACAGGATGTTGTGGATAGAGGGCAGGATTTTATTTTTGTATGGAAATGTTGCGGGTAAAATGATGATGCAGATAAAACCTAACATACACAAAAAATGACCATCAATGCGATGCACTGCTGAATGCACAAAGCTGTGTTGATTCGCTTGGCTGCCACTGAAAAATGCACAAGAATAATGCATTTCTTACCCAAAAATACTGTTCAAAAATTGCCAAAAAAGGGTCATTAGAATTAAAAGAAGACTGCTTCAGGTTGCCGAAGTCATTTTGGAATGACCAAAAAAAACCACTTAAAAGGATCAAAAAGACCCCCTGTGTGTTGTTCAGTGTGACTCCGGAGTGCAAGTCAATGATGGATATTAGTTTTGGAAACGACCAACATTAGAAAGAGTCAGTGATTAGTTCCTCCTCCTTGTGTCTTTGCTTCTCACAGATTCTTGACGACGGTGGGGATGCCACCCACATGATGCTCAAGAAGTGTCCGGAGACCTTCAAGCTGATTAAAGGCATCGTTGAGGAGTCTGTGACCGGCGTGCATCGCCTCTACCAGCTGTCCAAATCCAACAAGCTGAGCGTGCCGGCCATGAACGTCAACGACTCGGTCACCAAGGTACAACAGGGTAGTTTCAATAGTCGTCTTGGTTCTGGGTTCACCAAGAATACTGAAATAAAAGTTGGTGTTGTAAGGAACTGAGGTTGTGTCTGAAACAGGCGTTCATGTATGGCTTTACGATAGAGGACAGACACACAAAGGGAGAACAAAAGATCCTTTCAGTCCTATTGGGTCCTATTGGGCATTGGGTCTTTTGTTGAAAACAGTCCTCAATCGTATGGTTATGTGCTTAGTCTATGGGAGAGTGTTATATTTCAGGGACAAAGGGATACACAAAGCATTGTCCTCGGGCGTATAGAAATTCACGAGCTGTGGCTGTGTCAGTTGTCGGTATTTTTGCCCGTCACATACTTGTCTGGGTTCTCAGCCACTCTAGAAATCAGGGAAAACCTTGAAAAAGAGTTTCCCTTTTTCCAGTCGGGGAAAACTTTGGGAATTTGGGAAAAGTAGTCAAAATGAAGTCAAAGGCTTTTGCTTAAGTATAAAACGTGCAAAACTTAATTCACCTCATAGACCATGTGCCCTGTGCTGTCGTACCGACAGGCTACTGCCGGGCAACCCAAATGTTTAAGCATCTTTTGCATGTTATTTAGCCCACATTCAACAGTTTATGTCAACACTTTTACACTAATCACATTTCAAGATATATCTTGAAGAAAACACTTTGCTAAAAGTTGACATCACACGACCACAAACATCCAATTTTGTAAGCAAATGTCACATGGTCTATACCAGAGTGAGTCACAATAAGACATCTTGGTTTTATTCAGTAGATGTTTTCAAACTGGCTTTCTCGTTCCTCTAGGTGAAATTCGACAACCTGTACTGCTGCCGCGAGTCAATCCTGGATGCCCTGAAGCGTACCACGGACATCATGTTTGGCGGCAAGCAGGTGGTCGTGGTCGGGTACGGCGAAGTGGGCAAGGGATGCTGTGCTGCCCTCAAGGGACTGGGCGCTATCGTCTACATCACAGAGATTGATCCCATCTGTGCTCTGCAAGCCTGGTAAGGTCCTCACAGACTAAAAATGGTCCTAGATGAAACTTTATAAGCCATTTGCAAGTGACCTATACCTCTCGGGATTTTAATTTGAAAAGCATCTGGTACAATGACTTGCTCAGAATGCTTGGCACATTTTAACTTGTATTCTCCAGTCCAAAGACACTGTGTCTAATCACATGATTCAGGGCATAGTTACATAAGAGACGCTCAGCACCAATACATTGTTCACAATGCGTGAGAATGGCACAAAGACATCAGAACATGCCGAAGCTGGGGGTGGCTAGCATAAAGCTTGCCCCGAATCACGTGATAAAGTAACAGTGTCTTTGGTCAGGAGAAGTTAAAACGTGCAAAGCATTGGATTAAGTCAGCGTTCCAGATTTTATTCAAACTTAACTCGCAAAAGGCTTTTTATTTTAACGAAATGAAAGTGCCAGCACATCGCAACAGGTACTAGTAGGACCCTTGCTTTTAACAAAATTGATCAACGAAAAAACTTTGGGCTACTATATCAGAAATTTAGGCTTCCCCGACCTCTCTCCCTGACACAAAGGCAAGACAACGTAACTGATCCTGATGTAGTAGGAACCCAAATTCATGGCTCCTCTTGCCACAATAAAAAAAACCACCTCTTACTGTAGTGGATTCTCTGCTAACTTCAGTCAGCTTATTTTCATTTGGGTGGCATGGGTGGCTAGTGTGTAAAGCGCTCGCCTCTCACCACTGTGGCCCTGGTTCGTTCCCAGCTATAGGACCATATGTGAGTTGTGCGTTGGTTCTCTCCTGTGCCACGAGGGTTTTTCTCCGGGCCCTCCGGTTTTCCTCCCTCTGCAAAAAATCAAACACTTTAAATCTCTGGTTGTGCTCATATGAGATGTATGACTTGCTGCCTAAGGCACCTTTACATGCCTGCAGCTCGACCACGTTGTAGCCGCGTCCTTTGTAATTCAGCTTCTCAGCTGCGAGTAAGGATGATTAGCCTCCAAAATTATTATTATAATATTTCATGGGCTAGCAAGGAATGTTTTACTTATTTGTGCATTCATATATCCTAGTATTAAGGATTCCTTGCTGATGGGATTAGCACAGAATAGTGAATTTAAGCAGAGAATCCTGCAGTAAGCAGATCCATCACTGAGATAGAGCATGGTTTTATTGGGGATGCTGGACTATTGCATTGACATGTGCATTTCTTTTACCATCGCAGCATGGACGGCTTCCGTGTGGTGAAGATGGACGAGGTGGTTCGCATTGCGGATGTAATCATCACTGCTTCTGGTAAGTGACTTGCCGTAATTGAATAAATCTGCTCCTTTTTTAACTCTCAGCCTTTACAGATCCTTTAAAAATCACAACTGTGTGGAATTTCGATAGACTTTTTAATTTCAAGCCATTAAGCCCAATATGTAGTACGAGTGGCGCAGGTATACCTACCTCACCTCTGCAAAATCCTCCAAAACCGGTCTTGATGTGAAGGTATTTATTTTTATCTTCAAGCAACTTGAATCCCCGATTCTGATTGGTCGATCCATGGCAACAAGCCGTGCTACATATAACCATGTAGCCAAATCCTCCAAATGCGGGCTTTATGTGAAGGTATTTATTTTTATCTTCAAGCAAACTTGAAACCTCGATTCTGATTGGTCGATCCATGGCAACAAGCTGTGTTTCATATAACCATGCAGCACGGCCACTGTCCATACCGCACTCCGCGTATTGCGCTATTCTAAGATGCGCGTTTAATAGGATAACCGCTGAAAAGTTTGTGTGCAGCGTGCGTGTACTATCTTTAATGCGCGCCAAGTTTGCTTGAAGATACATTCAGTGTCCCACTCACACTCGTGGAACACGGAGAACGTAGTGCGTCTGTGACCCAGGACAAGGACGCACTACATTATTCCGTATTCTAAATAATAATATGGTTGAGGTTAATCAAAATTTAAGTCCAGGCTCCAAGCTGTTAGTAGTTTAGATTTTAAAAACAAATTATGTAGGGCTCAAATATCAATTGTACATCATTTTGGAGGGAGTGAAATGTTGCAAAACTTTCTACCAACTTCAAGAGGTTAGGGGACCTGACATTTTCCATCACAAGTCAAGTCCTGACTTTTTTGTAAACAATAAAAAGGCACGTGGTTTATTTTTTTAAAGGTATAAACTATGTGGAAAACTGAGAGCTCATTATGTACATAGTAGTTGTGGATATAAACCGTGACGCTTGCTAGACATGGAAATTGTGGAGTATTTCACTACAACAAAATAAAAAAAGTTATTGACATTATATTCCAACTTGCATTTCAACCTTGTCTGACCTGGTGAAGATATAGTTGGAATGTTGATACGCAACCCTTATCTTCAGTTTCAACTCCAGAAATGTTTCCAACAAATTTCTCGGTGTTTTGGTAACTACAGTACTAGATAAGAATTGGAAGAACAATTGTTTGGGGATAAGGGCATGCCTTAAATTCCAAATTTCGTTTTTGTTTCTGCACACATACTGAACTGATAAGCACTAACTTTTGAAAGTGAAAACAAAACGCTGATGGCTCACCAATATCTTGGCACAACGCTGCTGAGATATCTCGCTCAGATATACATATAGAGTCAGGGAACGACTGGCATGCAATTGTCCGCACGACCTTTGATAGGGTCAACCTAATTTGCATATTCCATGTGAATGAATTAAGCCAATCAGACTGTAGAGAAGGCAAGTCGCATAGCAACCACAACAATTTCTGAAAAATTTTTGGGACTTGCCTGCCGTCACATACATGTATGGTGAAAGGTCAGGGCCAAATTTTATGGCACTGCTAAGCACAAGATTTTCTGCTAACAGAGCCTCTGTCTGTTACACAGAGACCGTAAGCAGTCAGCACAGCAAAATGCACGCTTACCTCAAGAGAAGAAATTTGCTTAAATCAGTGATGTAACATTAGAAATATCCATGCGCAAGCAACCGTTAGCACGCCCATGTCGTGAAATCGTGCTTATCATCCTGTCCGTGCAACAAGGTTGTATCTCCTAAAATGGGCCGTACGTGAAACGCGAGTTTCAGAATATCAAAAGGTCGTATCTCACTTAAAATAACCCGGATGTACACACAAAGTCAGTGGACCTCGCAATACGACCTTGTTGCACGGAGCGTATTCGCGCGAGATACCAATTTGTTGCAGAATGGAGTTACGACCTTGTAGCACTGACGCGACGTTATGGTTATCACAATTTTCCGCTATAGTTAAGCACAACTGTTCTGCTTAATGTTAAGCAGCGGACTGAAATTTGCCCCAGTGTAACTCAAAATAGTTGTTCAATTCCATCGTAGAAAATAATATCGCTTGTGAGTGTTTTTCAGAGTTTGTTCTGGTTCCTTGTGCAGGCAATAAAACCGTGGTGACACGTCAGCACCTGGACCGTATGAAGAATGGCTGCATCGTGTGCAATATGGGACACTCCAACACTGAGATTGATGTGGTAAGTCCCGAGGCACGCCTCTCACAGGCCCCCCCCCCCCTCCATCCCAAGGGACCTATTTTCTCTGTCCCATATTGCATCTTGCAGGTTCATTAATAAAACAATATTATATACTTGTTTACTTTTGAAGTTAAAACTTTTAGGATTCAAGGGCGGATCCAGAACACAACTTGGGGGGGGGGCCAAAAAAAAATTTGGTCCCCAAAAAAAGTGGGTAAAATTTTTTTTTTGGATTCTAGATGCTCTGTGGTGCGATCTGAGGCAATTTCTGCCCACTTTAACCAATGTTTTATTGAGGAAAAGATGGTGGTGAACTCATTGCCTGCCTTTATTGCGATGTCACATAAAAATAAAAAAAAATTGGTTTCGTTTTTGGGGGGGGGGGGGGGGCCATGGCCCCCTTTGGCCCCCCTGGATCCGCCCTTGTTAGGATTATGGCACTCAGTAGTAGAGGGCAACACTCACTTTTTCTGTTTTCCCGCTTTCCGTTTTTTCTAGGACAGTCTCCGTACCCCTGACTTGACATGGGAGAAGGTTCGCTCTCAAGTAGACCACATCATCTGGCCTGATGGCAAACGCATCCTACTACTAGCACAGGTAAGCTTACTCCCTCCCCCCTTCCCCACAAGTCCACAGGAATAGGCAAGCTATGTATTACTTCCACAATTACATCACAGAATATCCAACATTTTATATCTTAAAGTTGCGTTCCTAGTGCTCTTTTCGAGTTTCATCTCAAAAAAACAGATTCCCTTTCTAACTTGCTATTTCCGTTCTCACAGTGCAGGCTGGTTCCCGACTCACAATCGTATTGATAATAAACGGACCGAGAGCCAATCTGCTCGCAAAGCAGATCTGTTGGTCCCCTTATTTTCAAAGGGTTACAGACATCCAAAAGGTGGGGGGAATGGGGGGACGTCCAAAAGGTGGGGGGAATTTTTTTTAAGAGCACAGGAACACAACTTTTAAGCATCTGTTATTGTTTCAGCACCATTTGAGCGTTCTTCCCATTTCCAGCGATACAAGTCCTGCAATAACAGGATCTTAGACTTTTGAAATTTTAGATAACATATCAGTGTCGTTCATATTTTTATACTTTTCTTCTGCACTTTTCCTATATGCTGTTCTTGTAGATTTTGGAGTTCACTTTTACCCTTGTCTCTATTTCTATAAACCTGACAATGTCTTCTTTTCCCCCTCATATTTGCAGGGGCGTCTGGTGAATTGGAGCTGTTCCACTGTTCCTTCCTTTGTGGTATCCATCACAGCCACTACCCAGGCCCTGGCACTCATTGAGCTATTCAACGCCCCACAGGGACGCTACAAGAAAGATGTCTACCTACTGCCCAAGAAACTCGGTGGGTAATTCAACAGTCAATGTGCAGAGATTTATGCAAAGTTTTTCTTAGAGCAAGCATTTTTTGGCAGGGCAGGGGGGGGGATTGTCAGCTGGATTAAAACCAAGGGGTAAGATTAACAGGTTTTTTTTCCCGATTTCAGGATTTTTAAAATTTTGAATTCGTGAGGCTTTACCTTAAAGGTGTTTTTCCTGTAAAAGATGTTAAAAGAAACAAGTATTTTTAGGGCAAATTACAAACATATACAATAGTCCCTGCATTGCTCCAGGGTCCTCGACATCCCTCAAACCCTTTTTCTGATTGTTTTGTTGGTTTTTTATTTCCCTCCACTCTCACCCCCGACAACTGTTCAAAAGTTTCAGATAACTGGTTTTTTGCAAGAACATTCTTTAAAAAAAGTGCATAGTTTAAGGCTACACAATTTACCTTTCAAATAACTCTGAAAATGTTAGTGAGTCCACAATTACACCTCGCCCTGTAAATGAGGCCCAGATACTGGACTAACTCTGTATCCTTGGGCTCACTTTCCTTGCTTTTTTAAACTTCGAAAACTATTTTTCAACTTTATTATTGGCTTACGGAACACACTTAACCTGGTTAGTATAACACATGAAAACAAACACGTATTGGGCATTCCTAAGTGTGAAGTTTCCCTGTAATTTCGAAGAAAAATGTGATAATTTTTTGGTCCAAAAATTTCCTGAGGTTGTAGCTCGTTAAGAGTTGTTAGCTTTTTCTTGTAAAAAGGCAGTGTCACATGATCACAGCAATGTTGTAATTTGGAAGGACATGGGCTATTTATTAATTGGAATAGTGTAGGCCATGGTATTGACTAACTCTTGATGATAACTCTAGTGTGATTGATACCTTGTTTATAGATGAGTACGTGGCCAGTCTGCACCTGCCTGCATTCGATGCCCACCTGACTGAACTGACCGATGACCAGGCCAAGTACATCGGTCTCAACAAGGCTGGACCATTCAAGCCCAATTACTACAGGTCAGGACAATGTCTAAACAATCTTCTGAATAACTTGGCTACAGACGGCAATTACATTAGCGCCTGTGGAAGTGGTTGAGTCCATTTCCCATAGACGCGTGTGTTGTTGCTGGCTGTAGTTGGGTTATACGGTTGCTGGCTGTCACTCTGCAAATCTTGGTCAGAGTCTGGGATTTGATTTTGTTCCCTTATGCAGCTGGTCGTTATAAACAAAGATGAAACAAATGCAATCTTGGAAATTCCAAGCATATGTCGTGTGTGCTCTATTCAAGCCAGTGCATGGGTCTGAGGTATGCTCAGAATATCTTGGGTCCCAGTGCGGGAACAAGAGAGGGCGCCTTTTGACCCCTTTCGAGGGCCTCATGGATGCGATTTTGACACGATAACTCAAAACAAAGTTTTGGGGGAACATTCCTCATTTAGCCTAGGTAGTTTCATAAGCGTATGATTCGAGTATCTGTTTGCCCTTTTCTTTCTGTTTTATCAATATGGTGTTTTTTGGTAAGGCGGCAGAACGCTATGCCCCAATCTATAACAAATTAGCTCAAGTTGTCTACTGACACTCATTCAAATGGACCATGTTTTGTCGACGGTAAACTTGAAAAATGGACTCTCCATGGCAACATCAGGCCGATGGTTGCGATCTTTACAAGATGTTTTTTAGAGGCAAAATGAATTTAAAATAATGGATTTAAACAAACTAATTGAATTTGTGTTTCTTTTGTTCATTCATTTCAGGTATTAAACTCATCATTTCAAGACCGAGCCTGTCAAAGACAGAGAAACAAACAACCTTACCAACAAACTGACGATAAAAAGAATCCAGGTAACTAGACTTGACGAGAAAAAAAATAACAAAAGAAATAGAAGCATATATACGGAACTGCGTGTAATTTATTAAGAAGAAAAAATAACGAACAGAATGGATAATAATGATTAAATAATGTGAATAATACCAAATTTGTGAAGAGGAAAAAAACAATATATTTAGTGTAAAAATGGTGTGTATAAGAGAGACAAAAATGCTGGGAAGATAGATATGCTTGTCGGTGAACACCTACGTGAATTTTGTTTTTTTGGCGGGATTGTTGTTGGTAGCAAAACAAGATTGATTTAGAGTTGAAAAGAGTCAAAATCTCTCTCGAAAAACAACTATGATCGAAATAGCTCCATATTGCTGTTCGTTTCAGGTTGAATTTAATACTGACTTAAGACCAGTGATAGCCACTGAGTTATTTAGAGACCAAAAATTCATTCACTTTGCAATTTTGAATTGTTTCGCTGGGCCTTTTTTCCATGTATGTAGTGAGCTAGTTTGGGAAAGGTCTTGGATTTAATCCACATGGACAGAAAATATCAAAGTCGGAAATTTTGAATTGTTTTCGGATTTCACACAAAATTCATTGGGGGCAGTCGACAAAAGTTAATGTGTGTTTAATAGCTTGCCTATTGTCAGAATGCAAGATCCACGTTCATTCAACTTGCTTTTTCACGGAAAATATGCCTATATAGCAGAAAAATTTGTTAGGAATTTAAAGGAATGGCGATATAAGTTGAAGCACTTGTGTTGTGGTGTTCGCTAATTCAGGCTGTGATTTGACTTTTAGGAAACGTCGCTACGAAAACTCCCTCCCCTAAAATAAATTAGTCACTGTTTTACTCACACCCTCTTGCATAGTTGCCAAATTTTTATACCAAAATTCTCCCCTCTCCGAAAGTTTCTGAAAGTTTCATCTAGTACGTTAACTGTGGTGGCATAAGTACAGAAGTGTACAAATCAATGGTTTTTTAGCTAGCGGCTGTCTTTTTAGCCTTAGGACTGAAAATTTTGACTAGCTATTTTGCAAATACGAAAACAAAATCGACCCTAGACAGTGTTTAAGAAGTGCATAGCTAAACCCAACAGAATACCCGTCTTGTATTTAACCTCTGTTTCAAATATATTTATATAGCAAACATTCAGAAAGAGAAATGCTAGTTTTACTTGGACTTGGTGTACGCTTATATATAAGCTGTTTTCATGTCAAATGATTCAATCTTGTGAGGTATTGCCTGTGTTCAAGTTGTACTTTAGATATATGAGGCTTGAGTAAAGGGGGACAATGTTCTTTTCAGTTGAACGGTATTGTGTGTGCCACCAAAAAAAAAAGGAAAAAAAATTGGCCCATTTCACGGCACTGCTTAATATTTAGTAAGTTTTGCAAACTGTAGTAGAAAAATTGTGCCAATGGTATGCATGTATAACAGGTTATATCACGTATGTGGAGATTGTCTGTTTTTGCATCGCCATTGTAAAGAAATTCTGCCTCGGAAGTTCAAAGCATTTAATTTGTCTCTGCTACTGAGCAAGTCCAAGAAAAGGTCCACCGTTTTGTCCCATACATAACGCCGTGTTTTCTTTACTTACATAATCATTACAAAGACTAATAACGTAAACATTCTTGTGGGTATTCTCCTTGCAGATGCCCTAGAGTAATATAAATATCACTGAAATCCATGAATATCTTAGAGAGTTAAACTTTCTTTACGTATGGGACATAGTGTGCGCGAATTCTTGGACTTGCCCTGCTGCTTGCTGTCTCTGTGAATCGGATAAAGTTTGAAATGCCAGGAAATTGTGCTCCTAGTAGTGCCATGAAATTGGGCCGAGCAAGGAAATTAATGTGAACGTTCTTTTCTCTTTGTTTTAAGTATCAGAAAACAGAGGGCAAAATCTCATTAAAAGTCTTTACCTCCTGAATAGATGGTTTGAACATTGTTGAAAACATGTGCGGTATTAACCCTCCTGCTATTTAAATAGTCACGGACAGTCAAAATTCACTTCCACTTCCCCTGCTATACTTTTAAACAAAGGCTAGTCACCAGCAGTCAGATCATATGTCAAGCAAGCACTGTGACTAGTCAAACTGGGTCAACAGACAAAGCAGGCAAGTTGTGGTCACAGCTGTTTTATCACTCACCCCGAGTCAAAGCATAGCTGTATCAAGTTACACCAGCAGTCCAAGGCAGTCAATCCTGCTTTAAGTGGGCTGGGAATTCTTAAGAGTTGAAAACAGTCACTTGATTGATTTTGACTGCAAGGACAACTTGGCACAGAATGTATGGTTGCATAGGAGGGCTAAAATACATGTAAGTGTATGACCTGGTTTAGTTTATGCAAGCCTACTTAATTTACAACCAAAGTATCAGTATTTATACATGGTTAATGATTTAAAAAGGGTTTACTTAAATGAATGAACACAATAGTCACCTTTATGTTGTCTGATTATTTTGTTTTACTGGAAGAGCTGGTGCATAGTTCGTTGTTATACCATGGTTTAAGACTTAGAACTGTTTAATGTGACATATTTAAGAATTGCACGGAAGACGACCTAATGACTTCAAATTAACTTCTTATGGTATCTCAAAACAATTGCTGTCTGTTAGTGATACAATCTTTGGGTTTTGAACGCCATGGACTAAAGCACATCAGACAGCAACTGTATTTTGTCGCCTTTTTATAAGTGCATTTTCAGTCCCATTTTGTTTCAGCTCATTTTCTGTTGATTGCACTGCGAGGCCTGTTTTTTTTAAATAGACACCGCAAAACAAGTCCACACTCATTGGAGGGGTCATTATTTTAAATCTGATCGTCTTATGATGACGTCATTTATATAGACCTTTGGGGAAATTTTGTTAGCTACATTTTGATGCCCCATTTGCTACCAAAGACTGTAAATCATCCAAGATTGACAACGGTTTATGAACAATGATGCAGTTTGAAAAGTTGCAAAGTTAAAGTAAAGATTACATGAGGAGAAATTGCTAAGCGTAACCACACATGCCCGTAATAAGCCTCTGTACTGATGACGTCACACTTTGTTTACATGTGCACTTTCCTATGGAGCCAGTGGGGGCCCATGGTCCACTGAGCACCATAGGAAAGCACACACGAAAACAAAGTGTGACGTCATCAGTACACATGCCCGTAATTGGCCCCTATCAACAGCACAGTGCCAGAACAAGGCGCTGGTAATTCAATTCGCTTGCTCCCATGCATACAAGCACTGTGCGATCGATATTCCCTGCCTTTCGTTTCCGGCAGTGTAACATTGTCACAGAGCCATTTCCACTCGCGTTGTCCATGTTGAACAATTTACAGTCTTCGGTAGCAAATGGGGTACCAAAATGTTGCTAACAACATTCCCCAAAGGTCTATATCAATGGCGTTATCACAAGACGATCACATCCAACATTTTGACCCCTCCAATGAGTGTCGATTTTTTGATTTTTTTTTTGGCGGTGTTTTTTTGCGGCCTTATTGTGCAATGTAGACAAGGGACTGAAAACTACACTTATGGAAAAGTAACTTTATTTGGTAGACATAAATTATCTTTTATGTTATTTAATTTTGTCTTTATTTTAGTGATTCTTCTATAAAACCCAATTAGACATTACCTCATAAAGAAGTATCATTCCTATTGAAAATAATACCTTAATAAATAGTTTATTCTAGTGATGCATGTGCTGTATCTTGTGAACTTTTGTTTGTTTGCTTGGGGGTTGTTGGGTTTTTTTTTGGGGGGGGGGGGTGGTTTTCAATCTTAAATGGAAGATTAATTACCAGGTAAGTATTGGAGCTAATTTTATTCGGAACTTGTGCTGATATGTTTGTTGTCTTCCTTGGTGTTTTATTATTTTGATGGTTTTATTTGGGGGGGGGTGCTTTTTTCTCATTGGACGTTACCAATGTTGACATAATTCTGGACTCTGCTGCCAAAACCTGAGAGAAAAACAAAAATTCCACTTTTGAAGAGATTTATTTCTATTTTTTGAGTGGCTTTCACACCGAGGCAATTTCAGTGTTGTGGAAATTTGTTTCTAAGTACATTATTAGGGAGACAGTATCCCTTTAAGCCTTAACTACCATTTCTAGTGTGAATCTTATTGTCTTGTTGCTTAAAACGATCCCCTAATTCGAGAATAGTATAATTAAAGCGTTGGGGGGGGGTTACAATAATGGGACAGGTTATGTTTGTGCACAAGTCTATGGGAGTGTCTACCTGTGATACCATTCTCGGTAATTACCATTTGTTATGTAATGTCTTCTGTTGATATTCACAGCATGCATGTACTAGTATGTCTCACAGCATCCGTTGTCATATAATAAGTGGACGACTGCGGTACATCGCTTGCCATAATCGAATATGATGAGAATATTTTGAATGGGTTTTAACCAGTTGTCCATGTATACCATAAGTGAGCCTCTGTATTGCAATTGTCAAAAATCTTTTTCTCCTTTACCCCAGAGCCTTAGGTTATGGTCTTCTTTCTAAAATAAAGAAATTAGTGAATTTTTAACTGTCTCAGTCTGCACCTCCATTTTCACTTCCATTTTCTCACTATTTAGGAAAACACATGACTAGATTGTTTTAGACCAGTTGTCTGCCCCTTCACTGCATCTTCCATTTCATGCCAAGTGAAGAAATTATCAAATAAATCCAATAGTTTTTAGTCACTCTTTATCAATTTGACTTGTTCCTTGAAAGCAATAATAAATATAACTCATTGTTGTAAACATTGACAACTTATGAAAACCAACTTAAAAGTGACTTTTCCCCTGGATCCTTGTGACAAAGTAAGAGGAATTAATAAATAAAACAAATCTGTCGTGGCCTGAAAAATGTTTGTATTGTCTACGAGACAGGATTTGTGGACAAATTTGTTCAGGTCTGTACAAATTTGTATTGGTATTTAGTCATAGAAAATGTACTTTATTAACTCCAGGCTTTTACATCCCCGGTTTAATGCCAAAACTGTGTCTCACTGTTCGTCAAGATGCTTTGATAATAAATTTCACAAAGTCAATCCAGCATTTCAGATTTGATTTAAATTACAAGTGCTTACATCGAATTGTCAGCAAAACTTTTGCAGTACCTCACTTCTTGCATCGTTCATACTTGAATGTATTCCTTCTGATTTTGTCGTCGGCGTTTTGTCACGGTGTTTGCTAAGAAATCTCCTTTCTTGATAAATACATGTCTTGTGTATGGCACTTTCCACGCTCTTTGTTGTAACTGTATTGGTATATGGTAATGACCCAAAAGTTAAAGGTGCTTTAGGTCAAATTTTCATAGGAATGGGGTAATTTCTGAGTAAATCTGGGTAAAATTTGAAACCAAAACATCAAATTAAAAACTTGGTATGGACTGAAAGGTAACAGTTTAAGGTTCTGGATTTTTTTTTTTTTTAGTTTTTGGAAATGTTTATGAGATTTAAAAGGGACAATAAGGGTCTTTTGCAAAAAAAGGTTCCATGTTGGGTTGCGGAGGGGTGAGTGAAAGGGAATCTAGCAGGCCGAGGGGTAAAAACAATGTCAACTTCTACAGGAAAATTCAACAACAAAAGACCTACATTTTTGGCAAGCAGCTAGTAATATTGAATCCGCATTTTAGTTATTATCTGTGCGTTACCACTTTTTAAAATTCACTCGCTTAGCCCTCTGGTAGATTTTTGTGTCAATGTTGTACAAATAAAAATGTCTTGAATTGTTTTTTCATCTGTCATATTATGCAAAGAACAGGTGACGAAGATCACCAAAGAATTTTCCAGTTTGTCAGTAATGCCTCTCCGTAGACTGGTAACAGTTAAGTAAAACAAAAAAAATATATATTATGCAATTTCAATTTTTAAAAAAATGTTCTGATCCCTTGAGTGTGTGCACCAATACCCGAGCCATTTTCACCTCCATGTTGGTTGCTAAGTAACTCCTGACGATTCAGTAGCGTTTAGCTTATATTTAATGATTATATCGAGGAAGATACAATGAATCATTAATTATTATTAAAAATGGAAATATTGTTGGAAAAAGTGTGTACTGTGTCAAGTTATATTCATTATTGTGTGCGTGTTGTGTATAAAAATGGCCTGTTGAAATAGGTGTGGGCAGGATTATGCCATCCAATGAAAACATCTTTTCAATTGTACTCCAGTTTTCATTGGTTGATATGTGTTACCATTCAGCACTCCAGACTCAAGAACCATTGAGTTTTAAGTAAATAGGTCTGGGAACGAGACAAGGCAATGTAAGAAGGCCCTCGATGTTCGCGTCCACCTTTTTGCCATACCTTTGTCTTTATGAAAAAACACCCCAAAATGTTGTCTTGTCTAATTCACCGCGGTCTATTTCCCTGAAACAGTAACTTGCAATGCTTTAAAGGGAATATACATTTGCTTTTGCTGTAATTTTCAGAAATGGATGGATTTGGGGGGTTAATATTTTATAGCAAATATTGTTACACTGACTTGTTTGACGTTTTGGGTTTGTAGATGCCGGAAAAACCAAGAAAAATAATCATGTTCTTGTAGTCTGGTTCCCTGACCCCACCTAAGATGAAACGGAGCAGTATCCCTGAACATTCACAGATGTCTCCTATGATGAATATTCTTGTTCCGTAATAGTCTTGGCAATTACGTAGCAATCAAGGCGTGGCCATTTTATGTAAATGGCCGTCTGTATCAATTTGAACAAAATGGCAGCTCCCATTTGCCACAAGTGGTCGCGCCCTCGCGGGGGGTATCACTGCATTGCGAATGTTTACAACCGTCGGGCAATATTTCTTGATCGCTGATTGGTCCCCTAGGAAAGCCTAGAGAGAAAATAAAGAATAAAAGTCAAACTGCTGATACGAAATGGCCAAGACGTTAGTGTGAGTAGGCCCGCTGGTCTAATAGCTGTGCCATTAGAGGGCGCACTATGCACTGTCCTCTATCGATCACTAGCGTCTTCGGCCAAGACTAGTTCCGTAACTGTGGGGATTGCACACGTAGAATATCCCAATAACTCGGTCCAAATTTGCATAACAATAAAAACCTTCCCCATAACACAGTGACTGCTCACCCCCAGGTTTGTTCATGGCGTATATCAAGGATTTTCTCTTGTTCCTCATTGGTTTTGTACATGTAACCATCGATACACGTTTTCTAATCAAGGTCGTCCTCTATTTGACTCCAGTCCTCAATTACTCGACGATGCTTCACAAGTCGTGTGTGTCCTCGATTTACACCATAAACATGCACACACACACACAAAACAGGCTGAAATAAACAACAGAAACTTTCCATGTCAATTTCCCTGTTGCTTTTTTTTTAATGTACTCTGCAGAGAGGTGGGGACCTCCCTGTACACATTTCTATTCACAAATTCTAAAACTGTACAACATAATACACACTAGTCGATACAATTAATTACCAGGGCATCTGTCTGCATGAAAAGAAACACAAGAATTTACATTACAATTCAGATCCTCTACCCTGAGAACATTCAAAGAATGCAACAAATTTGAAGTTTGTACACAGAGAACAAGTTTAAATACAATATTTCAAACTGGCATATTATGCAGCAAATCAAATGAGCCTAATCCTAGTAAAGCCATATTTTCGAATTGTTCAGTCTAAAAGACCCTATGCGTGGCAGCCATCTTGGAGGGCAACGCCTTTGTTTTGCTCTCTAAGATGGCTGCTACGATTAAAGTCTTTTTGCGTCCATTGCCTTGCCGGGCCTATTGTTTGTATACAAGGTTAAGCAATGAACACAATATGGACTGCAAATGCATTAATTAGCTTCATGGTAGCTTCACGGTACATTGCATGTCACAAAGATTTACTTTCTGAAACTCTGTTTTTAAAACTCATTGATACGATGTCCAAATTATTTTACTACATGTTTAAAGTTTAAGATTGTTTTACAATCTGAATTTAGTTTTTTAATACGACTAGGCATCATACACAAAACAGAACTTTGTAGAGTAGAGTGTTACAGTTTTTAACAGAGACAAATGGAGCGTGGCAAGGGGACAGGAATTTGTCTCTTCGTCAAAACTATGACGGTATCTTAAACCTTTAAAAACACTGTGGTTCACCGCATTCAACTACCTGTTGCATTCTGCAGTTAACTCTTTTTAAAAAAAACCAACTAAATAAAGTCAAGGTACTCTTGTGACAACCCTGCACAATTAACAGATTAAAAATGTAGGTATAATAAAAAGTCCATCGGAAATCAAATGAACGAGATTAAATAAAGTGACCGCTTCTTCATCCCACATGTGCTAGACTTTCAGGAGTCTGATATTATGACCAATAAGATGCTTTTTAGCATAAAAGGAATTTGGCAAATACAAAATTCAAGTTTTATCATCCACAGTTTTTTCTAACACTGCCAAGCTATGGGAGACAAAATAATTCTTGCAAAAGATACCAACGTGATCTTGAAAACGAGGAAAACAATTGTACTAGTCAGCACTACAAATTCAGCAGGCTGCCCTCAATAGTTATAACGTTGTGTCATATGTACACTCCATATACCCTTAACCCTAACCGCCCTGAATCCTTCAAAATCCTCTTTGCCAAAGTGGAAGAATTTGGAGGATTGGCAAAAGTGCGTTACTGATTTCGTAGGATGCACTTTGTCAAGGTCTTGGGCCGGACCTTGTGTTGTTTTTGCTCAGCCACGCATAAATATAGGCCTGGATTACGCTTGAAATCCTCCATACTGCTCCAGAATGTCACTGGCCAAGCCTCAACATATTGACAGTCATTGCTGCAGGATTTTCAGGATTCAGGCAGTGGTCACCCATCCACAGACCATATTCAAGAAATAATGGAGGATTTTGTAGGATTGAGGCTTCATCCTAGCAAAAAGGCCTAGGGAGTTAGGGTTAAAAGACATTGGCGACAGTGAGACTAAAATCAAACACGCGTTTTTAAAACTTCGCTCCTGTCCATTTTGATGGCAAGCGGAGCATTCTGATCACAATTTGTTTAAATGCTCTATAGTTCTCGTTCTACTAGTAAAAGTCTGCATGCTGATCTGCTAGTAAAACAGGAATTAGGATATTCAAACTGCAAAACTTTCCCTATTGGGAAACACTTCTGACGTGACTGACCCCTATTACTGTGTTGTGTCACTGAGCACGTATCTAAATAAGCAGCAATTCAACAGTTCGAGGCACACTAGTGACTGTACTCCTTGGATCACCAGCGTACGTATTATACCACATCAATGCCAAACCAATAAGAACAAACACTACACTCCTATGTAACCATAGACCTTTATCATGCTGCCACCATTTCAGTTATGCTCCCTGTATCCAATAACAGTACCTAATGATAATGTTTTTTGTGCAAAAAGGAACCAGACTATTTTTCCTTCCAGCCTCGCTTTGGTTACATTGATTTGAATGGGGAAAAAATAATCAAGATGGCTGCAACATGATAATGGTCTATTGGTCAAAAAGTTGCTACTTTGCAGAAATCTGCTAATCACAATTGAAATTCGCTTAGTAAAAATGGGTTACCAGTCAAAAATGCCATGCATTGTGCACTAATATTGAATGGTTCCCAGCTGACGCTAAGCAACTAAAATCTGCTAAGCAGTGTTTTCTACTGAGGCCATGTCCGAATGACTTGGCTATGGCTAGATATTACACACACGGGTCTAGGGGAGCGGCTGCAGCCACTTCCCATAGACCTGTGTGTCATTTGAAGCCGTAGCCACATAATTTGGACACAACCTTAGCAGCTAATGTGATTTACAATGACTACTGTAAGAATCCCTGCCCTGCACAGTAAGCCAATGTACAGAAAACGTCATTTCATAGTATCATAATTTTCTTACAATTAGTACGCAATGCAGCGTTTACTGTTACATATTCTGCAGTTTAATGTTAATACTGGTTAAATAAATGACCGCTCTCTACCACTAAACCAAAACTGTTGACAGATTTCTAAATCCTCTATGTACTTTTAATATAAGGAATCAAATTGCAGAAAAGCACAGCAATGTACATGTAGGTGAGTGAGTATGCAGAAGGGATTGGGATAGTATATTGCTTTTGCTAGAAGCGTGTCTCAGGTGTCCGAGAATCTTTTGGCTATTGTTGACACCCCAGTTTCTTATGCAAAATGCATGTGGAAGCATCAATATTACGCAACTTGGATGCCCAGCTTTTCAATTCAAGGAAAATTTAGTCGTACAATTTTTAGATGCCACAATACCTTGGGTTGGTAAAACAGATGTGACAGTGCTTTGGGGCAGGTAAAAACAAACAGACATTCCAAAATTACATTTTCGTGGTGAGAAGTTAACTGAAAGCTGCTCAGGTAAATATCTATGGAGACACTGTCATCACCTGAGTTGGCCGACAAAAATGACTTGAAAAAAATAAAACCATTTTTGCTTCCTGAAAATAATTGTGTTTTGTCTAAAGATCGTGCTTTTTGTCATTGTTTGGAACAAACTAGAAGCAATCTTTAAAAAAAAAATCTTTGATAGAACCTTTGCTTTATGTACATGTACAATCCATCAGACAACACTGTACACACTGTATATAGCCAACAGTCATTCCTCAACAAGTTCAAATAACATAGGCTGCAGAATTTTATTGAATCGACTTTTTCACATATTTCAAAGCCGTTAATTCTAAAGATTTCCCTTTTGAAGTGAAATTTACAAAATTTAACCCTATTTCAAGAATTACTAACAATAATTTAATATTCCAAGATGTGTATTACACAGTGCAAATCATGACAACTATTAAAACCCCTAAAAAATTAAAACGAAAGAAAACGAAGGATCGTTACGATTGATAATACTGTTTTTGTGCAGTAAACATCCTCAAGGTCTGGTTCCCAGACCCAACCCTAATGCATTAACGTGCAGGAAACCAGGCTCTTTGAATGGAAATCACATAATATTAGTACGGATACAACGTTTTGTGAACAATCAAGCTGAAGACATTCAGGACCTAAACCCTTAAATATTCAGTCATCTGCTTTTAATCCGTAGTTTAATTGACCAGCCATCTTCAAAAAAACAAACTGGACCTGGCTTCCTGATTCTCCTACACCTTTGATTTGAAAATAAATTAAAAATAATACTGTGAACACTAACCTGAAGTTTCAGTGCAGGTTCTAAGAGACTGTTCTGGACTTTTCTTGAAAAACCTTGTCAACCCTAACCCAGGTAAAAAATTGTAAAAATAAAAAAAAATGGAAAGGATCAGTTTTGCTTTCATGACAATCTTCCTAGAATGAATTGGTGTTAAAAATTCTAGTCAGGTGTATGCTGCTTTTTTCTGTGCAAGAAACTCCTATTTCTTTGCACAATGTTAACTTGAAACTTGGTTGGGGTAACGATGGGTACAGAGTAACCAACATGGCCATGCAAGAAGCTGCCATTTCTTTGTACAAAGTTAACTTCAAACTTGGTTGGGGTAACGATTGGTACAGATGAATCAACATGGCCATAAGTCATGCAAATACTCAATGTTTTTTTTGTTGAGACACTTGTGATGGTGCTGGTGATGGATCACAAGTAAATCACAAGTCCGGTCACAAGTATATCACAAGTGGATGAACAGTGTCACAGATATTTTGAGAAGCTTGTGAGTTGAAGGAGTGGCTTTGCCATGGTTCATTCCAATAGCTCGTGAGTTGACTTGAAGACAGAATGACATGTGATGACTTGTGTGATCAATTGTCAGTACCCCCCAGAGTTGAAATCAAGTCAGTCGCAAGTCATCACAAGGCAATCACAAGTCCATCACAAGTCATCACAAGTTATCACAAGTCCTCCAGGCCCTAGTCAACTCACAAGCTATTCAAATGAACTGTGGCAAAGGCATTCCTTTGTCATTATTCGTCTCTTGTTACATCTGACTTGACTTGTGATTGACTTGTGACTGACTTGCGATTGACTTGCGTTTGACTTGCGATTGACTTGTGATCGACTTGTGATTGACCTGTGGTTGACTTGTGATTGACTTGTGATTAAACTTGTGATTAGACTTGTGATTGACTTTTGATGGACTTGCGATTGACTTGTGATTGACTTGTGATTGACTTGTGATTGACCTGTGACTGGCTTGTAATTGACTTGTGATTGACTTGTGATTTGACTTGCAATTGACTTGCGATTGACTTGCGATTGACTTGCGTTTGACTTGCGATTGACTTGTGATCGACTTGTGATTGACCTGTGGTTGACTTGTGATTGACTTGTGATTAAACTTGTGATTAGACTTGTGATTGACTTTTGATGGACTTGCGATTGACTTGTGATTGACTTGTGATTGACTTGTGATTGACCTGTGACTGGCTTGTAATTGACTTGTGATTGACTTGCGATTGACTTGCACATAAATTGACTTGTGATTGACTTGTGAATGACTTGTAATGGACTTGCAATTGACTTGCGATAGACTTGTGATTGACTTGTGAATTGACTCCCAATTGACTTGCGATTGACTCTCGCACCTGGACTTCAACACTGCAAACCCCCCCCCCCCAAAAAAAAGTTTAGTTGAGAGCAAGAGTGTAGCAAATCAAGGCTGCTCAATAGTGACTACCTCCACAGCCTGAGTCGCCAACGGCACAGCCCCAGACTGCTGCTGCTGCTGCTGCTGCAGCTGGCCTGTCGTCGCTACCATGCCAGACGGGACCACGACTTGTTGGATGTGTTGGCCTTGGACCATGGCCGTGGGTTGGGTCCCGACCACGGCCACCGTGTGGACAGGCAGTTGGGTGTGGACCTGGACCTGACCGCCCTGCTGCATGCTGTTGACCATGCTCTGGTACATGGAGGCTGGGATCACAATACCTTAAAAACATGATACAAGTGAAATTTAAAACATTGAAGTACAGGGACTCGGCGCAGAAACAATAAGGGGCCTAGACCTTTCAGACCTGGTATGAAAATCCTCCATCCTGGGGTCTATTGTTTGCAAGTCTTTAATCAGATAAGTCTTCTTTTGTTCTGCACTGGATGTTACCCAAGGGGCAATAAATTGATGAACCTGACTGACTTTGAAGAATCAGGTCAGACAGGCCTTTACAAGTACCAACAAGAGTGGGCTGAATACCAGACGAAGTAATGGGGAGGGGGGGGGGGGGGCTTTTCAAACCAGGTCTATTTGGTCACAGCCCCTAAGGCAATACTTTAATAGTGAGTAAGTCTCTCGACTTCTTTCCAGTGGGGTCCCTTCTTAGAAGATGTGGAAGGAAACTACAGTTCTAGTGGTAGGAGGAAAAACCTAGAATGATATTCTAGGCGGAAACCCACGGACTCAGGCAGGGACTGAAAACCCAATCCACATATTGGACCAGGCAGGATCGAACCCGGTCACAGCAGTGGAAGGCAAGGAAAGTACCACTACGCCAACCTAATCCTTATGTGAGCCACTTTGCTCAAATTTTCCGGAAAAAAAGTTGGTTGGTCAGGATAACATTCATGTCTAGGGATTGGGATGATTATGTTGGACATATCTTTTGTAACAAAACATAACCCATAGTGAGTCCTTGTACCCCCTCAAGTCGCACTGCCCGTTACTCACATAGCACTCCAAACCATCTAAGCACTGTACAGTTTTGTGGATTCTCCAGGGAATAAATACAATGCTTTCACTAGGGAGGTAACACACTGAGTATACAGTGTTTATATGTCGGCGAAGGGGCAAAACCAAATACAACAATGTATTGGTAATACAATGTAATACAAGTACTAATGGGTTAAATAGCAGAATTGTAATCAAGTCAATCAAGGTCAATCACAACTCAACTAATCACAAGTCAAAAGTCTCTGTGTCTTTGTTCATCTCTTCTTAAGCTGATGGGATTCACTGTTTTTAGCCAGTTCTCACAAACTTGGATAATGAATCATAGAAGAGGTACAAAGTATATTTCTGTTTTCTAGTGACTTGCGACTAACCTGTGACTGAAGAGTGTTTGAATTGTGATTGAATAAATCAAAATTTTGGTCATAGCATGAATTGTTGCCATCTTTGCATATATATGCCAAACTGGAACATTCAAATCCTGGCCAAGTACCTTGTGTTGCCCCATCAGCACCCACGCTGCTGATAGTCCCCATCGTCTCGCCGTTACTGGACAGCATGATGTGCGTCCCCTCGGCCAGCGTGGCCTCGGAGATGGTGGCCACCCCTCCGTGGGCGGCGGCCTCGCTGTTCATCTCCACCGAGACGGGCGTGGCCTGGGGCGCCTGGGGGAGGTTGGTGGTGGTGACCACGGCCGTGGTGCTGGCCTGAGAGGCTGCCACGTCGGCCAGGGTCTGGACGGCTTGGGCCGCCTGCTGTTGCTGGGGCTGCTGCTGGACGGGGATGTGGTGCAGCTGCACGTGTTGGATCTGACCCATCTGCTGCACCTGCTGCACCTGCTGCACTTGCTGTAGTTTACAAAATATGATCAACAAACCAGAATACATAATGGATGAAATGCACAAATTTGTCGTAACAAAATGAGATATTGGAATGAACATTTGATTTACGCTGTCAAGAATGATTGGTGCATCAGCATAACATAGATGTCTCCAACTTTTTGATTGAGTACTTGTCAGAAGGATCTATTGTGAAAATACATCATTTGCACCCGATTTCGTGTTTTTACCCCACGTACAATAATATGAGCTCCGTGCACAAGTGCCTCCTCAACATTAAGGAAGGGTGAGCTAGGGGAGGCCACTTGGAGAGACATTCAAACGCATTGCCAACGACACCTGACGCTCACTCTAAGACGCTATGGCTGCACATTCAGAGCAAATGAAGTCGTGCGTTCTTCGCGTTAACCAGTACGCACACACAGTGTGGCACAAAAAGGAGTACGAAAAGTGGTACGAAAAGCGCCCTCTCTTGTTGGCGCACAGAGCCCATATACTACAATGACTTAGTTGACTTTTTTTGTCAATGTCTTTCCTGCTATGTTACAGGGTTGACAAGCTGAGACCCAAAACGAAGACTTGAATGTCTAGCAAGCAACCATTACTTGGTGGTGCCACCCTGTAAGCAATGTCACACAGTTTACTTTAATAGTCTTGAGGCAGGGATGCATTTGGCAATTGGTATACACCAATCCCATTGGCATGATACTCCAGAGGAGGCGTTGCCAATTAATTATCCAGATCCAGATCCAGAATCCAATTTTGAAATTATGGCAACAGTTCTGGTAGCCACTACTGGGACACTTCCATGCCTGAGCACCCACCTCCCGTGCATTTTGTAAAGCTCTGAACACGTCACCAAAGACACATGCATCGTGCGTCCAAGTAATGGTGGAAAGTGACACCAGCAATAAAAAAAATTTGGAACTGTATTGGGTGTACGTGTGAAAAAAACTGCTTCCAAGGCTGCACCTCATTAGTGATGTCTAATAGAGGAGTAGTCTTTGGGTTTATTTGCTTTAGCCTGGTGCCCGAACACTTCCTTCAAATTCCAAGGTGTTTCTGATTTCAAACTCTAGTGCTGCAGTTGGACTACTTGCGATGGATCATAAGTACACCACAAGTCAATCACAAGTCAGCCACAAATCAAATAACAAGTCCTGTCACAAGTGACAAGGGATGAACAATAACAAAGGAATATCACAGTCCATATGAATAGCTTGTGAGTTGAGTTGAGTGAAAGTGGGGTTGCAGACTTGTGATGACTTGCGATCCATCGCAAAATACCTTTGACACAACATTAGGATGACTCACATTGACGTCGGTCAGTGTGGCGACGGTGTTGCCAGTGTCCACCTGTATGAGCGACACGGTGCCGTCGGGGTTATTGATGGTCTGCACCACGGCGTGGGAGGGGATGATGGTGGTCTGTGTCCGCTGGTGTTGGATCAGGTCCTTGACGTCTTTGTCATCGTTGAACTCGGGCAGCAGGTCCTCCCGGCCGTGGTGCTTGTAGCAGTTCTTGACGATGGTGCGCAGGGCATGAGTCCACGATACCTAGGAAGGATTTATAACATATATAATATTACATGTGACCCCTCCCAACAAAATGAGACACTGAGTTACTTTTGAGAGACAACATTTTAAAGCTTAAGTCCATCATTTGCAGCTATCCAAAACGTAACTGACGTAATTATTGTTGAAAAACATACTTGGTTGAAAGATAGCAAGGGGACTAAACTCCCTGTGAAATTATTCTTTCTGTCATTTTGCTGTCATTTTGAAGAAATCAACGAAAGAAGGCCTTTCCAACGGTGCGTCTTAAGACGCACCGTTGGAAAGTTCTGTTAGTAGTTCGTTTTTGTTATTCAGCGAGGCGCGCGCGCAAGCGTTGACACGACGCACACGCGCGGTTGCTATAATTCGTCGGATCAGTGCGTGACATCGCATAGCTGCAATCGGCTCAGTGAGAACGTGTCTTGGACGCGAATTCAGGCCCAATTCAAAACATGATTCAGCAACTTTTGATTTGAAATTGAGATCCTAGAATGCTGTTTTTCTCGAAATATACAGCTGAAGCTGAGCTGAAACTTCATCAGGTTCGTTGTTCAGCACCCTTCTTAGATTTTGAACACGTTTGTTGCTTCAAACGAACAAACTGCACAAATTACAACTGATGGACTATGCCTTTAATGATCCGGTACAATGGAAAATTGATAGCAGTCTAAATTTCCTCATACATAATTTAGATTGTATTGTCATGAGATGTCGAGTCAAGTGACAAAATATACAGCAAATTGTGCTGTTTCCAATGCACATAAAAAAGCAATAAGTGAAAAAAAATTTCCTTATGATCATATGATCAAATTCTGTCACATGGTAAGTCGTATGCCTGACTTTCCGCAAACAGCCGGCAGTTTACAGCATCCATTCTCCAATACACATGTAAAATTGAAAGTTTTAAAATCTTATCAAACAGTTCAAGTTCGGGGAGAGTTTTGCGCGAGTTGTTTTGTTAAGAAATGCAGTTCAAATTTTCAAATAAACCACAATGAGAAACTGACTAGGTGCATTATAATAATTTTTAAACGTTGAACAAAGACATTGAAAGGAGCAGGGTTTGAACTGCGACCTCCAGTTTGCAGTTCGGGTGCTCTACCAACTGAGCTATCCAGCCCTATGTTGGCGGGCCTCATTTGGTCAATGTCTTTGTTCAAGGGGCGCTAGTCGGAAGCCAGGTTCTTACCCCACTCTATTCAGTTTCTTTGTTCAACAAATGCTGTTCAACATGAAAAGTGTAGACACAAAAGCATCAATGAGTTTCACAAACATTACCGTACCTTCTTCTTTTCGTCTTCTGTGCGTACGTCGCTGCGCACATTGGCCCAGGGCAGGTCCGAGGGCCACCAGACGGGCCGGCAGCTCTCCTTGCCCCACCCCGGCTTGCCCCTCCCCGTGGAGTACTTGAGCATGAGCGGGATGAAGGCCCTGAGCTGGGCCTGGGTCATCTTGTTGACCGGGGTCGGGATGCCGTCCAGGACCAAAGGAGGCAGGTCGTAGAGGTTGGTGTTGTCTCCGGGCTGGGTCGGCGGTGTCTGCTGGGCCAGCGCGTTGTCCAGCTCGCTCATGATGACGCTCTTGCAGCTGCGGACCTGTGTACAGTGTGAGAGGTCGTGATCAAGTGAGAATCTAAGTCAATTTAAGGTCTCATATGATTCAAACTTCAACTACGTGATGTAAAAAGTCTGCTGTCTTGTCACTTCCAACAGTTTTCATCGGCAACTTCTTATTGCTGGTGGTGTTTTTCATGAAGGCAGAACAACTTTCAGCCAAGCCACCAAGACTTTGGTTTTAATTAATAATACGGTGTTATAACCCATTTCCCTAATGTTGGCCCTACTCGTGATAGGAGCAACAAGTTGGCCATTTCTTTGTCAAATAGACTTCTCATGTTAGCTGAAAAAAATCCAGAAAATGACACCAGACTTTTTTTTGGCGAATTTCAATATGACTTGAAGCTTTACATGGCTTATGACATAAATAGACAAAATTGCAGGTAAAACCATGTGGAAAGAAATCTCTTCTTGGAAGAAGTGTTGTTCTGAAAAGAACTGGTAGGTTGGGTGCAGAACTCGACGTAGAACTAATCTTGAGATAATTAAAATTAAATAAGTTTTAACTGCACTAAATTCTGCATAAATTTTATAATTTTAAAACAACTTTTGTATAAAGAGCCCTTGTAAAAAGAAAATCGCCAATCAAGTAACATGCAAATATAGAACGCCAATACCGACCACATGATCAAGAGGATTGGCGCCAAAGACTTTGAAGTTGGTTTCCTGTTTCCCCGGTGTACAGCAGATCATCACTGCCTGTTGACCAACTCTGGTAGTGTACTCATCAATAGTGGCTCTTAACTTTCTACACGTGAAACAAAAAGCGAAACAACAAAAACTCGTAAAACAAGACAATTTTTGAAAGGCATACTTGATATAAAAAAGAGGAAATTGAAACAGGAGATATGTTTATTGAATTTTCTATGAACACAAGAACTGTTTCGCGAAGAACTTTCATGTAGTACCAACAGTATCTTTACCCACCACATGTTGGCCTGATTACAAATTCAGTTATAAGTTGACTTGATTTTTAAAAACTTGGTGCATCAGCATAACAAAACTGTCTCCAAATTTGGATTGAGTACATGTCAGAAGGATCTATTGATAAAATACATCATCTGCACCATCTCTACGAAATAAATGGGATCGAGTATGACCGAGATAATTGTTTTTCTTTTGAAACTTTGGAGGTGAATAGTTTTGTCTGTTTTTACCTGAGTAGCCTCGTCTGTTGTCGTTTGCGTATTGAGGGGTTGGTTTCAAAGGAGTGAGGGCGCTTTCTCTTCTTCCCAGTTGCGATGGCAGCAGCTGCGGCAACACCGATGGGACCTAAAGGAATACAAATTGTTACAAGTTACAAAAGGGCGCGTTACTGGGCCGAATGTTATTGAAAATTTTGACATTCTAGATGCTCTGTGGTGCAATCTAAGGCCATTTGGAAGCATACTTTATGATCAGAAAAGAGCAAAAACCCCTACCAGTATGCTGCAGGAAGTGGCCCTGTTGAATTTTGGATTAAAAAAAAAATTATGTCAATCACAAGTTAGAAAAAGTGCAACACAGTGGTCAGCATTAAGTCAGCAAAAAGCATTCATTGCGCCAAGTTTACCTTTTCATGAAATCATTTTACAGGAAAATTGCGAAAAAAGTGGTGGAAATATGAACAAACACAATTCTAAGCGCGACTAAGATGATTATGATTGGCGAGAAATATGAACATTGACAATGAGAAATAAATATCGGGAATTGCTGCCGGCAAGTTAGCGCATGGCCCGGCATCAGCCTGTCATGCCTGTGCCGGCGAAAGACAACATTTTCCCGTAGCACTTGAACAGACCTGAGAGAGTATGCAACCCACCATGTGGAGTCTGACTGGAGCGCTACAAATCTTGCTTTGTGGCAACAGATGCTGATTTGTTTTTTTCTTAAAGGGAATTAACATCATTTGCTTTTGCTGTAATTTTCAGAATTGGATGGAATTGGGGGGTTGGAAATATATACACTGACTTTTTTGAGGTTTTGGGTTCGAAAAACCAAGAAAAACAATCATTTTCCTGTAGTCTGGTTCCCTGACTCCATTTAAGAAGAAACAGAGCAGTTTACATATATTGGGGAATTGTAAGGTCAGGGAACCAGTCTAGCTGGCTTGTACCCGTTCATAGGCGTGTAATCGATTGCAAACAAGTGCGATGGCCAATGGGGGCCAGTATTTGAAAAAAAAAGCCAGTTTTTTCCAACGCTGATCGGCCGATCAGCGTTGGAAATTGATACAAAAATACCACTTTTCTTGAAAATGACAGTATACCAGGTGCCATGATTTTACAGGATGCTTTACACTGTCATTTACTAACAGTCCAGCAAGGTATTTCAAAATGATTTGGTAGTTTTATTTTTTGATGTTTGCAAATGTTGTATTTTCCCTTTAAGAATAAATATGTCCTATTTTACAACAAAACTTATCAAATTGTTGTGATTACTAACGAGTAGTAACGTCAAAAAAATCAAGTGTCTGATCGTACTTTCTTCAAAAACAGCAAGCAAGATGTACGGGCGAATCCATTAATTTTGTAAGGGGTGATTTAGTGCTAGTTTTGCGTTTTACGTCGTTTCTTGAATGCATTTCCAGAAAAAAATACATATTGTGACGTAGAACAACTAACCGTCGTATAAAGAAATGTTTCAGACTCCATAAAAAGTACTACTTGTCTTACTTCTGCGGAAATATTGATAATTATTGTTCCCAAGACGGCACACCCCTTTGTTACCAACAAATGGTTTGGTCCGATCATTCAGCGCGTGTGTTGCATGCATGACCGCGGCATGGCACACATGCAATCACATCAGACTCCAACGAAAGAGTTCGCTCATCACGCACGGCCGGCCGGCCGGCCAGCGCGGCAGTGTATACCGCCAGCACTCGGTAGCGAACCTCGGTATCTTTTCGTGGGATGTGCTTCCGCTGTTCGTTTAAAAAAATGATTTGCCCCAGGTAACAATTGATAATGCGTTTCAGCAACAGATCATTACCAGTACATTTAATACACATTTGAATCTCATTTTTAGCCTGTGTATAACTTCTATAAGTAGTGGGAAAACCTTGGGTAGTTTTTATTTTTGTCACGGAAAATGTGAAGCGTATCGATAGCATATCGGTCAACTTCAAGCGTATCGGATTTTTTTCGAAGCGTATCGGCCCGATATCCTATTGTATGCCTGGCTAGAAGCCTGCTTTCCATGATAGCTTTTAGATTATCAGAGTTTCCTTCATTTACCTGCTGCAGCGAGTTGAGCTGTGACTTCATCATGCATGGCGGAGTTCAGCAAATCAGTGTCATCGAAAGCGGACTCCGGCGAGGAAGGCTCGCTGACGTCATCCCCTATCATCATCATGATTGGTCGGTTGGTAGGGTGACCCTGAGGTCAGTCGGGTCACATGCTAAAAATAGACACACAAAATAGTAGAAATGCAATTTGAACATATAATACTGGCCACACCCCAAAAGTCCAAGGGTTTATGTGCAAGTAACCCCTCAGCAATGAAAAAACCTTGGTGCACCATGATTCCAAGAGTTTTGAAATTTAGAAAAAAAAGCTGAAGAAGGAACCGGTAACAAGCCTTTTTCACTTTGTTCGTAGGCTTAGGGCAATCAACTCTTCGCCCAGAAACCAAATGTAACCATAATAAACAACCACCAAAGTAAAACCAAACAATATCAAGTAAGTTAACCATACTAAAAACTTGAAGGAAGATTGTGGCCTGGTGGCTAGGGTTTGTGAACCATGATCAGAGGGTCAGGGGTTCAAATCCAGCTGCTGGTCATAAATTGTGTCCTTGGGCAAGCCACTTCATCCCCACTTGCCTCTCTCCACCTGCATCCAGGAGTTTAATTTTCTTTAAATGGGTGCCAGCATTAGCTGGGTAATGTTGTGCAAAACCGACCCAAAAGTGACTTCGTGTCAGGTCGTATGGAGTACCGAAGTGTGACATCATTTAGAACCAGAAAGTGCAGTGCAAAAGAATAGAGTACACGTGCGTGTTGGTTCTCGGGCTGAATCACACGCTAATGTCTTTTACACACACATTGTATTGTGCGCGTGATGTATTCACTTCGGTACTCCATTAATAGAATTTTATAAAGGAAAAAGAAACTTCTAATTCAAGTGTGTGGCTATATTTATTATTTGGAACTGGTGAGATGTATAGATAAGGAAACACTTTTGATTATCAATAGTATCAGGCTAGGCCCACGTGATGTAAAGAGTTAAATTATGAAACCCGGGCTTTGGAACTGAAGGATTGTCCCTTTTAGTTTTAGTTTTACATAGTCTCGTTTGGTTTATGAAAATAATTCTGGAACGAACAAACTTGACGAGTTGATCAAAAATGTTGTTCAACTGACAATCTGACAAAAGTGACAATAGGCAACAACTAGCCTAATTCTTTTTGGAAAGATTCCCATATCTGACCATCACTTGTCACCCTGTGCACAAACCCTATGGGTATGAGACTGGTGTGAACATTTTAAAGTGTTTTCTCAGTAACAACTTCAATATTTTCCCTGCTTAATTTAACTATTGAAATTTTAGACCATACTGTCACTTTCTGATGGCTTTTTACTAGGTCACTGAAGGGTAAAATTCCAAATTAGTGATTGCCAGATATGGAATCTTTCCTTTTTTTTCAGTGATTTCTCTCATCTTTTTATTTTTGTAAAAACTCTGTGCATTTGTGCTGCAAAGTTGAGTGACTGTTGGACTGAAAAACTGGGCTCAAAAATCAGGGGCAAGTTTCCACCGGCACCCGGTCAGGGCCAGGGAAACTGGGACAAGTGCCATAACAAAACAAAAAAAAACAAAGTTTTTGGTGCATGCGTGCGACGATCGACAATTTTTGCGACTGCGTAAATTGCAGTTGCATTTTTGCGCATGTCTACCATTTTCCGCTGAATGCTCGGAGGGAAACGTTTTGGCAAGCTATCAATATCCACGCAATCCTACATTTAATAAAAACCAAACATCCTTTATTTTCCTACCAAATCGTGACTCGAGACCCTGAGTGTCATTTTGATGCAATATTTGCGAACAAAAACTCTGGTTTTTCATTAAATGACACGCGAAACCTCGACAAAAAGGCACCAGCTGAAAAGAGGACCAATTTGCTAAGTGCGGCTGCGCAATGCAAAATCTTGACTGGCCGAAATAATGCAGAGCGAAAATTGCAAATTTTATTCACACTAACTATATTTTAACTCATGAGAATCAGTATCCAACATCTTCTATGGGCATTCTACAAGCGAAAATAATAATACCTAAAAAAACACGAGTGAAAATGTTTTTAAAAGCTTTTAACAATTTAGGGTTATCTTGATAATCCAGAAGGTGCGAAGTGCGACTGCGCAGACGACAAAAGCTAACAAATTTCCAAAATTTTCACCAACTTTACAGGTACAAATCTCCCTTTATATTTTAGATATATACTAAAACCAGTCCAATATATTTGTTTTGATTCTTCATTAATACATACACACAATATAACTTTGGAATACTCACCACAAATGGGGTAAAATTGACGTCAAATAAAGCCTTTCCAACGGAATTTAGATGCGCGGAAACGTACACATTCGAGACGGTTATGAGCACGACACTCAATTTTCCAGGGAGGGTATGGCAATAGGGGTACCAGTAATTGAAGTAGGGAGAACTTGCAGAATGATCAGTGTTGCCTAGTAACAGAGAGAGCGTAATCGGGGTCAGTGTACTTTAGCGCGCCACGCGCGGTGTACAAAATAGTAAAGGTTTCACTATTTTTGTTCACAAACAGTTTTTTTAGGTTCTTAAATAGTGGAAGTAATGTATTTGTAAGCGGCGCGACGTAGTAGCCGGGGGGGGGGGGGGGGGGGCATGGGCGCGGCCTGTGAAAAAAAATCTGGCTATCCTTCAGCCCCAGGGATTAGATCGAGAACCGATCCTCATCACCGATCTGTGATGAGGACAGTGCAGTGAGCGCTAAGTGGAAGAAACTTTTGAGACTTTACCATTTTGTAGAAGGGGTGAAACACAAAACCTTTCAACGTCACGTTTGGTCATTTGCTGTTCGTGCATTTGGTGTTAGTGTCCAGTAACACCACTCAAAATCTAAAGAACAATGTTCGAAACCTAACCTGAAATTTCAGTTCAGTTGATACATTTATGGGAAAAGTGAAAACTCATGCACAACCTTTTCAGCACGAAGCACGATTTTGTCAATAGCACTTCTCATTTTAATAAAAAAAAATTGTCACTTGGAAATCATCTACATTTTATTTTTTTCTCTCTAAATGACAGCAAGCCAAAATGAAATATTTCATAGGGCTCTTTTAAAATCCTTACTCCCTCGGCCCTTAATACTAGGAAGCAGGAACCATCCTCAATCCTCCAAAATCCTCCAAACTTTTGTACTTATGCTCAAATGAAAGATACCAAAGGCCTAAATCCTTCAAAATCGTGGGACAGTCCTGCCTCAAAAATGCATTCATCCTCAATCCTCCAAAATCCTCTTTTTCAAACACCATTCATCCTCAATCCTCCAAAATCCTCATTTTTCTCAAACACCATTCATCCTCAGTCCTCCAAAACGGCCATGAAGATTTTAGAGAATTGAGGTGGGCTAGGGACCTTTTGATAATAAATGGGACATTCTTGGGATAAATGCAAATGACCCGATATGGCTTTAAAAAACTTTAAACAAATTGTCATCCACACAAAAAAGCAAAACACACATAAACTAGCAATTGTTGATATTCCCAACAAAACTTTAATATAATTGTTAGTCACTCCTTCCATGTTTATTATTAAATAAGTTTATTATTTGTGAATGATTTAAACATTCCTCCAACCATCAAAATCATATACCTCCATGCGCTGACACATATAAAACCTACTGGAAATAGGTTTTTAAAAATATGAAAAGTCTTTTATCAAAACGTTCTGTGCATAACACTTTTTGCATAATATGGGTGTGTGCATTTTAACACCAAGAAATATTAAATCTCAAAACAAAAAAAATGAGTGTGAAACATTATAATTGTTCTTTTGGCTTGCACAGCATGATGTAATAAATGAAATGAAATTGCTTATTTTTAGTCAGTTGATGAATTATCTTTTGATCTTATACATCACTAAATAAACAGCACGGACTTTATTCAAAAATATGAAATTATAACTTCGAATAAATGGCTTCATAGGAATTTGCAGTGAAAACAATCTACGCCTTGCAATTTCACAAAGAAATACACTTTTGAGAAGATTAATGTTTCTAATTTGGAAGAAAGATTTCTTTTGAGCATTCATTCAGCTGCTATTATAAGCATACAATGTTAAGCAAGATGTGCTAAGCAAACATTGGCTGGGAACCAGTGATGTGCAATACACTTCACTTGACACTTAAGCTGGCAATCTCTAAGTAATAGTTTTCTCTGCTAAGTAGCTATCAAGGCCCAATTTCAAGACGCTGCTAACCACGGCATTCCACGCTTATGATCACCATTCTGTGCTAACAGCGCTAGCAGAAAAATTCTGTGCTAACCCTGTAAGCACAGAATCCTTAGTTACGGGATGTACGCATGCGCAGAAGCCAAAACACCCCGCTAACCTGTGAATAGGCTTAATGTAAGCATGGAATTTTCTCCTACAGTAAGCAGGGATTTTTTGCTAACAGTAAGCAGATCCATGAAATTAGGCCCAGACAATAAACAAGTTCATAATTGCAATAAATAAAATGCAAGGCATTTTGCATGCCGACCAAGTTTGACAGTTATGTAAATGACTAACGTGAATTCACTTATAAAGAGTATGTCTTTAACTTTGGCACTTCAATTATTCAAACACAATCATGAGTTAATCTTTCCCAATGAAACAGCAATACAAGACGACGAAAGCGTTTGCGACAAAGTGAAAATAAGTTATAGAACTACAATGATTTACTGCCCAACGGTTTTACTAAAAAATATACTACATAATGATTAGCAAATCTGCATACATTTGACTTGAGTGTTTCGGACTCAAGCTTTTAACGTCTCATTTTGATAACACCTAGAAAAAAATTAAATATTAAATAAATGATACATCATTTTACACCACCGTTGCTTCAGTGGTTTTGTTCATTGCAGTTTCATATCTTATTCCATTAAACAATTCACTACTTTGTCAAATATGCACGTGTATAAGCACCAAGACTGTTATGCAATGCAAGTTGTCAACAAAATTTGCATAATTAGTATCATTGCAGTGCAGCAAGCGGCCTTTTCTCATTTTCCTAACGAAAAAGGTCCAACTGCCTAAACACACACAAAATCAAGCCGAATCAAAGCTCAGAAAAATAATGTTCGGGAAAGATATGACCACACATAATCAATTCATTAATTTGTTTTTGAAGTAAAAAAGGCACCGATCTATAATTGATCAAAAATGCTCAGATACAACTTTGGTAATCCCTGAAGGTAGCACTTATGATAAGAATTCCTCTGTTCTGCAACTCGCTTTCATTTCAATATAATTAAGACAATAAAACAACAAAATCAGGGCATCTTCAATAATATTCAACTCACAATAAAATTGATGTGAATGTGATTTTTCTTTTTCTTGTGTGTGCAATATTTCTTCACAGGTGCTGTACTTGTGACCAAAAAAAAGATAATCTCTTAAAACTAATCTGAAATTTTTGCCCATGAGTGCAGTTTCACATGTCTAAAACGGGCTGATAACAACAACCTCCTAGATTTTTGCACTTCACAACCCTTCAATTAAGTTTTGCAAAACCACTGTTGTCCATAGAGTTTCGTCCACACTTCAATTTTTTTTTAGATAATCTTCTGTGGAGTATGGATAACACTTCAAATCCCTGCACAATTCTTTTGTGTGGTTTAAGCAGGCAAATTTGGACATACTTCACTGCTCTCCACATCAATGCTGTTTTGTGCAGTGACTTGATCTCTGTTTATCCCTTCACCTGAAACTGACCAGCAGTGTCCTAAAGGGTTTTACATAACGTTGTGTGCGTGCAACAAGGTTGTATCTCCTAAAATTGCGTGCGACGTCATATACGTGAAACGCGAGTTTCCAATGTCAAAAGATTGTATCACGCTTACAATAACCCGGATGTGCACACAAAGTTAGTGGATGTTGCAATACGTGACAATGAGATACGACCTTGTTGCAAGGAGCGTATTCATGCGAGATACGACTTTGTTGCTGAATTGAGTTACGACCTTGTTGCACTGACGCGACTGAATAAAATTTTTAAAGGAAACCCATGTTGCATAACTGCTGCACCCACACCTCGCACCACAAATTTACGAGAACATTGGTTCAATTTGGTCACACGCCATTTTTAACAAATGGTCCTCTGTGAGGAAGACAGCCAACCTGGCGCTTGGTCCCTGGCTAGTTGTTATGCCCATTCCTCTGAAGGGCCTCATATTCTTCTTTAACAGTTTGAATGACTTTGATCACTGGTAGGCAAAACATGTCAAGCAAACCTCATGATTTCACTTTTCTTTTAAATAATAGTACAGCGACAGATGCGATGACCATAACTTAATACACGTGTTGGCATTTTCTTCAATACAAAAAATACTGAACAAGGGCACACACATAAACAATATAATACACGGATTTCAAGACAATTCCCAAATGTTTAGGGTGAGTTCCTTATCATCTCGCCAATCTGTCCAGCTACCAATCTTATCTCTGATTTCCAGGCGAAGCAAAACGTGTCTGATACAACATGCCAAGTTGTGAAGCGCACTTGTTGGTCTTCACAAAGCTGAACGCCTTCGTCTCCTGGTTATATCAAGTATTTCACACACACACACAAAAATATACTTCCATTGCAACTGGATAGCAATTCTATATCCTCATCCTGAAACTTCCCTCATTTCTTCTTCTTCTTCTTGCCTTTGCCCTTCTTCTTCCCCTTCGGGGCGTCGGGCCAGCCGAAGCCCCTCATCTCCAGGAATTCCTGGGGGCCGTGGGCAATGTAGTAAGCGTTCGTCATCGCAGCGGGACTCATCAGGTCCACAGGTTTCTTGGGCACTTTGCCGGGGGACGCCGATCGGGCTTTCCGGCCTTTCTTCTTCCCGCTGGGACTCTTGCTCCTGCTGCGACTGCGGCTGCCGCGGGGCAGCGCCTTGGCGCTGCGGCTGTATCCTGCCTTTTTACCGGGCTGATGGTTGGATTGGGAGAGAGAGAGGGGGAAGTAAGATGTTAAGGTTGCTTATTCAGTGTTTCATGGCAAAGCTTAGAAGTCAGTCAGTCTAAGACAGAGACTCATTTTCAATACTGTAAAGGCTTAGAGACAACTAATGTACGATATTTTGGCCATCATCAACTAGGCAACAGCCAGCAATTTGCACCTCCAGGTAACTCTGATATGGCCTTATCAAAGAGAGTCCAAGAGACTAGCGTTTGCTTAAAATTCAACTTCAACGAAGGCTAGCTTAACTTGTGTAGATACCAAAAGCAGGTAATGACATTCATAACAAGTAAAGACTCTTGTATGTCAATACATGTATGCCCATTACATCACAAAGGTATAGAATTTGTTAGATTGATCTAAATTTAGAAAATTTCCGAAATTTACACAGAAAGACTGTTTAAACTTTGAAGATGCAAGTCCATTATTTTCCACTAAATTATTTCCCTCTAAAAAAGTA